TGTGGGTACCTCTCCCATCCATGCTGGGAATTTGACTGGGTTTATCTCATGCAGGCAGGTCTTGTAGAGGAAACCACAGCTGCTATGAGTTTGTAAATGCAACAACCTGTCACGTCCAGAGACACAATGTGTTTCTGTACAGTCTTCTTTCATCTTTATGTCATATCTCTACCCCATTTTCCATGATACTCTCTCAGTCTTGAAGGAAGGGGATGTGATATTGGCGTTCTTTGCACTTTGGGCCTAATACTCTACCATCACTGATTTCATGTACTTTGACCAGTCATGAATCTCTGTATGAAGTACAGTCAGTTTTTGCAAAATAAAGCTTCTCTGATAAGAGTTGGAAGCAGAATGAATCTGTGGGTAAATGATAAATATTTAGAAGGTAGTTTGGTATTATGTCGATTCAGCAAAATAGTATAGGCCTTCCCCTGTGGTCCTTGACTTCTTCAGCCATGGGTCCTTGGCCAGGTTTGCAGTACCACGCCTGAGTACTGTCCTGTGAAATGGGCCTTAAATCCAGCCAGAAAGTAGTTGGTTATCAACATAACATTCATGCCATTGTTGCAACAAGAGGCACATATTTCAAGGCTGACCATCATTGTAGGTCACAAGGTTCACAGTGGGCTAAGGCTGGTGAGGGCTTTTCTTTACCAGAATACTACAGAGTGCCTTTCCTGACTATGAGAGCTGGCTAGGAGGAAGGAAGCTTACAGGTTGGTACTAGCTTGCTTTTCCCTTCTCCAATGACTCAACTCTATGGTGTCTTAAGCAATAGGGTCTTACTATCATGTTATGTTGAGTAACTAAGAGTAATGATAATAGATAATAATTATATGATAATGATAATAGATAATAATGAGAGATTAGAAGAGGCCCCCTGAGGGCCAAGAATTAGAAGGGAAATATTCCACACCCAGCATTAGGGAAGAGCATTATCCCTACCACATATAAGGTTAGTCCATTAAATATATGTGTCAGGTATACTGTAAAGAATAGTAAATTTACATATGGCCTTTTCAAACATCTTAAGTATCAGTTATCCTTCCCTCCATCCTCTTCTCTCCCCAACCTTCCTATTATTATGAACTTTTGTTGTTAACTTAAAACAACTTAAGATCTTCTAGGAAGAGTGTTTCAATGAAGGGCTGACTACATTTGAGTTGGTCTGAGGATATGTCTGTGGGGAACTGCCTTCAGTAAGATCAATGATGTGGTAAGATCCAACCCACAATGGATCACCATTCCTTAGGCAGGGCATTCTGAACTGTATAGAAATGGATAGATATGGCTGAGTCCAAGCAAGCAAGCAAGTATTTATTTTTCTCTGCTCTTGACTGGGGATGTGATGTGACTAGTTGTTTAAAACTCCTGCCATGACTTCTCAACACAATGGGATATAACCTGGAGTTGTAAGCATGAATAGACATTGTGGTGATTTGAATGAGAAATGAGAACTGTCCAGGTACAATTAGTTACCAGTTGGTGGTGGAGTTGGGAAGGTTTAGGAGGTAGAGCCTTGATGGAGGAAGGACTCACTGGAGGCAGGCTTTGACAGTGTAAAGTCTCGTGCCACTTCCAGGTCACCCTCTCTCCTATGTGCTAGCATTTGAAGATGTGAGCTCTTTCCTGCCTGCTCCTGACCCTTGCTTGCTGCTGATGTCATGCTTCTCCATCATGATGGACTCTCATCCCTCTGGAACCTTAAGCCAAAATGAACTGTTTCTTCTATAGGTTGCTTTGGTCGTGTTGTTTTGTCACAGCAACTGATAAATGATTATTACAGGTCCCTTGGTCCCTTAGTTACCCTTTGTCTTAGCAAGGAAAATGAAACTAGGATCCCTCCCTCCTCCCCCTACTAAGCCACACTCCATGATTTCCCTTTTCCTCTTCATACAACCATACTCACCTATCTCCCCTCTCCTAAAATCATTCTTCCCACCCCAGAAGTAATTTTCTAGTTTATTGGCCTTTTCCAGTACTTTAAGTTAAACACATAAATATTAAAGGTTAGGATACACATATGAAAGAGAACATGCATTATTTTTCTCTCTAGACCTGGTTTACCTTACCGTGTTTAACTTTTTCAAGCTCTCTCCACTTACATGTAATAATTTCATTTTCTTTGTAGAGCAATAAGTACCTATATGTGTTTTATTTCATTATCTATTCTTCATTTTATGGACATTAAAGTTACTTCCCTTTCCTAGATATTGTGAATGGAGTAGTAGTGAACACAGATAGGCAATTGTCTCTATAATAGTATATAGGGCCTCTTAGGTGTGTCCTCAGGAATATTATAGCTGGGTCATATGGTAGACCTATTTTTAGAATTTGAAAAAGTTACACACTGATTTCCAGTATGGTCATAACTACAAAAGCAAAACATGGGAAAAGTCATTTCCCTTGTTCACACATCCTTTTGTGATTACCATTTTAAGTCCAGAGGAATTTCACCCAGCCCATAACACAAAGGAATAATAACTTGCACAATATAATTTGTATATTATAAATTAAGTGATGTGTGTTAAAAGGCCTCTTGGCCCACTGATTCATACCACAGAATTTCAACAGTTCTAGATTTGCAAAAATAGGAAACAAATGTGTCCATTTGGTTTCTACTGGTACATCTGAGTCAACTGGACCTGAGAAGAAATGCTGGTCACTGAGTATTATCTGAGTAACTTTGGGAAAGAAATTTGATTTCAGTTAAATAACAGGATTTGGTACAATTAGTCATTAAAAGTCAGGAATTTGCATGACATTGTTGCTCATGATGGAATTAAATGGGCTGTAATGTGGAATTAAACATTCACTGAATAGAACAACCTGCATTATAGAGTGTAGCAGAAGTTTCTCCAGTCCCACCTGGCCCCACAGTCCCATAGCCACTTATAAAATAATCAGTCAGAGGCTTACATTAATTATCAACTGTATGGCCTACGGCAGGCTTCTTGCTAGCTAGCTCTTTCATCTTAAATTAACACATTTCTGTTTATCTATGTATTGCTGTGTGTTCTGTGGCTTTACCTGTGTCCCATTACGTGTTTCTCCTTACACAGCAATTTAGCATCTGTCCCATTATCCTTTCTCCTCTCACTGTCTCCCTTGGATTTTCCACCTGGCTCCACCCTGCCCTGCCATAGGCCAATGTAGCTTTATTTACCAGCCAATGGGAACAGCATATATTCACAGCATACAGAAAGACATCCCACAGCAATAGAGTAACTGGGAAAGCCTATCATTTAATTTTAGTTCAAAAGCAGAAACGACTAAGGCGTGTAAAGTAGAGGAAATAATAAACTTAAATAAGATTAGTGGGTCAGAAGTATTCAGAAATACAGGATAATTTGATGCATAGTAATATTTAAATCATAATAAAAATCTTATCAAGAGTTGAAGTATGGAGGTTAGTGACTTTGGGACTACAATAAAGTTTGTGGCTTATAAACAAGTTTGAGTTGAAACTAGAACATAAAGAACTTTCAGTTGGTCTTTGTCTTCTAGCACACTGCTTTAAAAAGTTAAAACAATTATTATTAACTAAATTCATTCATTGACAATTGAGTGTGTTTGTGCATACATGTGCACAAGCACAAAATTCATTATGGATATTCTCACTACACCTTCTTTGATCTCATCACATCTGTCTGAACATCATCTTCCCTTACAAATTCCTGTCTCACATTCATGACTTTCTGTTATGGTTTTGTGTCACAAGTAGTTTAATCAAAGCTGTCTGTGTGACCATGCATTTGTAACTATCCATTGGACCCTGGTAAGAAAAATCTTTTACTCCACATGCAAACATACATACAAAAACTTAATACATACACGACATATATAAAGCAAATACAAATATTTTGTCTTATTACATCCAATGCCTTCTGTTATTTTCTACTCAACTCAGTCCTATTCTGTTCCCCCTAAGGATTCTTCACTGGCTCATTGAAGGAGTCACAGTGTCTAGGCAATTTAGTGAAGTTCATGGAGATTTCTAAATGAAGAGAGATGACAAAACTTTAGGAATTGTACCAGTTATACAGGACAGAATAAAGAGAACACTTAGTCTGGTGATTACTGTGGCCATGAAGGCAAACAGATTTATTGCATCAGTGTCTGTCAATTGAGTAAGGTCACTGTAAGACTGAGGAGAGGAAAATAGTGATTGGAGGTGATGAGAAAGTGAAAGATTGAATGAGAGACATGTGAAAGACCAACTGAGATTTTAAAACCTACAAGAGTCTCTACGTGGCAATAGATGGAGAACCACTCATGACTAAATTCAAAACAGCTATATGAAATAATTTCCTAAAAACTTGAAATACAAGCAACTCATATATTCAAATTCAGCACACAGATAAAATACAAAACCTCACATAGCCTTAGAAGAAAAGGCAAGTTTGAAGCATATGCTGAGATTGTACTGGGAGCCAGGCATCAGCGTATGAATTTTCTTTTAATTCTGACAACTTGCAAAGCAAGCATTGTATCTGTATCTATAGGAAGGAACAGCAAGGTTCAAAGAAGGTAAGCCATTATTTTTGGGCAAAGAACTTGTGAGATCAAAGCCCAACAGAAAGACTCACACATATCTGATTGGGAAGCTTGGACTTTATTGATAGTATAAAATTAAAATTACAAAAGATATTACAATGAATAATTTAAAGTAGTGCTTTTATAAAACTAATTGCATTTTAGTACACATTATCGTTTTTCAAATCAGCTTATGATCTCAAGTAACTCTTTATAATCTACCCTTGGATATTTACGGAAGAAAAATGAAAGTTTTAATTCAACTGATAATTTTTTAAAGAAACTTTCTATTGAATATTCTTATTGTTGATCAGACTCTTGAGAGTCTTGTTCACTAGCATAAGCTGAGGTCTTACAAGCCAGTAGGGGGCAGACAACAATTTCTGTATCTTTGGCGGGGCTCTGGTGTCTCTTCCTCTCTGAGCCCGTTACTTACCTCCAGCCTGGTTGCGCTTCCTTAGCAACTGGTTGCCCTGGGCGACGGGAAGACGCAGTCCCTCAGATTGCATTCCTGGCAAATTCCTAGCACCTGCTAGTGGTCGAAGGCCCCAGTGAGCTATGTCGGAGATCCTGTGCCATTGGCTCAACCGGGATTTGAAGGTGTCCCGGACCGTGAGTGAGTGACCACAGCCTAGGGCAAGCCAGGAGGGGAGCGCGGAGGTGGGGGTGGGGGTGGGACGCTGATGGAAAGTGTCCCCTGAGTGGCTAGCTGCGCCCCACAGTGAGGGCTAGCACTCTTCAGTCCTACCTAGCCACCTGGGGCCTTCTCATTTCATCCTGCCTCAGGCATTACCACCCCCACCCATCACAAGGTCTCAGCCCTCAGAGTTTCTGACCTAGTCTATATTTCTAAGCAGCCAGGGAGGCTTAATTTCGACAAACTGGCCTGCTCCTATGGGGAGGAAACTTTGCTCCTGTCTGTAGTCTGACTCTGGCTTTGCTTCCAGGACATCTGCATTAAGAGGTGCAGGACAAGCCCACGGAGGAGCAGGAAGTGCTTTTGGGAGTTACCACTTTTTCTGTTTCCTCCAATGTAAATTAGATCCAATCACTCTCTTTAACAGCAAATGAGATGATGTAGAATATGGTAACGTTTGCCAGTTTTAGAAACTTTAACCAGTTTCTAAACTTAAGCTGTTTGAAAAAAAAAAATACCATCTACCCTTTTCTAAGCTAACCTTACTTAATTTTATCAAAGACATAAAGCTGTACCAGAAGCTCCTAAATTCTTATGGCCCAGAAAGTTACAAACAGGTCAAATTTGGTGAAAACCAACACTTCCAAGTGTAGCACTTCAGTATGCTCTTTCTCCTCTTTGGGGGAGGGATTATTGTCTCTCCAAAGGGAACTCATTTTCAATTGCTATGGATTTTCCTCAAGGCAAGACATTTTCAGGACAAATCATTTCAGTCTGTCTTCCCAGAGGAACCCTTGCCTCCCTGCCAATTGCTAATAATGGGGGCAGTGATGCCAGTTCAGCCCTGGGTCATTCATAGATGCTGCTAGATCAGTAGTGTTTGTGCGGGTGTGAAATATCTATTGTCAGCCCAAGGATCTTCAACACATAACATCCCAAATTGCGTTTCTTGAGGCATAAATATTATATGTATTATTTGCTTAGCCACCTCTACCCGGCTATGAGCAATAATAAATTCCTTCTCAGTGTTCTATCTCGTTGTGCCTCAGAGATTTTCTCTCTCAAATATGATGCTAAACTCAGGACAATATTTAGCATTTATCAATTCTTTCTCCTTTCTCACCATATTGTCTAAAACTGAAGTATCACACCTTACGTTGCACTATTCTGAGAGAGCAGTTGCACATTTTTTAGCTTAAGTTAGTTCACTTTGATAATAAAATTCACTCCATTTCTTCAAGTCCCTAGAACCCTTGTAGAGTAAAACATTTTTGGAAAAAAGTAAATAAAATTAATCATAAACATGCAAACACTAGATGCTAATAAGTTTGAGAAATTTGATTTTGGAAGGAAGTATGACCTCATTGTGAAGATTAAAAGCTTGGAGACATTTTAAATAAAAATTATAACACCACAAGCTATGAGTGGAAAATTCCCAGCATCTTTTTTCCTCAAGTATAAATCTGGAAATTGTTAGCAGAGGCACCCCATGCTAAATTCATTTTGAACACTAGCAATACAGCCATTGCTGAATCCCAGTTGCTGTAAGATGTCTAAGGAAGCAGTCTCTGATACAGCCAAATTATGCATGTAAAGGGCTATTCAGAGTACAGGGAATATATTCAATTGTGTTTGTAATAGAGATAGGATTCCTGTGTACCTAAGGGAACACACAAGTCTCTGGTTAGGTAAGCTGTTCTTTAGGGTGTGATGGAAGATTTTTAATACTTTGTAAAACATATAATGTAATGAAACAGTGTAAGTTGAAGAAAATAATTTGGTGATTTCTGGATAACAGCTGTGCAAGGGGATTGGAGACCTGGCTGCCTGGCTCTAAATATCTTCTTCACCGTCACTAGCCAGTAGCCTAAAGTTCACTGTACTTAAAAACAGCATTTGTAATGACGCTTCATTGGTTGTATCAAGGTTAAATGGCATACATAATACATGTAAAACATTGAATAGCACTTGGGATGGGATAGTGAGTAAAGATCTAACTTGTCAACTTCACTCATCTTTAAAAAAACCAACATAAGATATTTGAACTAAGATTTGTATTTCTATTTGATTCTGGAATAGAAATCATCTGAATAGCCTTAAACAGAGTAATAGTTACATAAACCATGTTCTTTTATACCATGGAGTACTGTGCAACTGTTGAATGAATAGGATACATGTTTTGATGTAACAGATTTTGTGTGTTTATTTGAGTAAAAATATTGTAGCTTATTGTAACTAGTATAATTATGGTTTTATCAACTATAAAATACATATACAAACATATACACAGGCATTAGGGAAAAGAAACACATGTATTCTGCTGTACTATATTGTTAACATGTCCATAAATCTTCATATTGTGATTTATTTTAACATAAGTATATGTACAGATATAATCCGGAATGTCAATGCTGGTTACCCTGAGGAGGCAGTCATGTATATATTGCCTTCATGCATTTCTATTATTTGGATTGAGCTTGTGTTGCTTTTAGAGTTTAAAAGAAAAATTCAGTATAATATTGAAATGAGAAGTTCAATAATAGAAGTCAAACTTCTTGAAAAAATAAGGGAAAAAATTCAGTTAAAACATGGATGCTTTTATAATAAAGTATTCTATGGACTCTTTGAAGGGTTTTTCTCAAATAAAAATATAGTTGAAATAATAAGAAAATAGTTACAGGCTACTGAATATTTATATATTTGTAACATAGAATATGCTAAGACATTTTTAAACTATCTTTTTATTTGTTGTTAAAAACAAGCATAAAAGTAATGTCTCCAAGTAAAGATGATAATGAGAACATTTGGGAATTGGTCAGGGATGCGCAGTTAATAGATTGTAGAGCTAAGATATTAACCTAGATATTTGACTTTTGCTTTTAGATACTATATTCTATATTAGTGTTTACATTCAGAAATATTTATTAGTGTCTATTGATCAATCCATCTACCTTCAAATATTCATTTAAACTCACTTTTAAGGGGTGTCATCCAATTTGGAGGGTTTTTTTTTCTTTTAAAGTATTGAATTTCAACCATTTAGCTTCCCTGGGAATTTATAAGGATTCAAGACATAAGTCAATTCCCAGATGGTTAAGCAGCAAGGATAGGATTATTAGTGTTTGATTAAGAGTGGTTCAGTCTGTTCATTGTTTGTGGAGCGAAGAAACAAGATGAGGATGCCACATAAGTGCCTTAATAAGGCTAAAGAACCTCTATTTGTTTGAGATACAGCCAAAGTCATTGATTTCTAGATTATCTTGAAAGCTAGGTTCTGAACTACCCTGCTTATTCACAGTAGAGAAAAGACATTCCAAAAATCTAAATCAAGAATAGTCATCTTCCACTGGGGCAGGTGGTAGTGTATGTTCCTGGGAGTCCCTCTAGAGTTGATTAATCCTAATGGAGGAAGACTCCAATCTAGCCAATGAAACCTAATAGCCTTCAATAAGATATCTTTAATTGAATCATTTTCCTTGGAAATAGTGCTTATTTGTAAACTTAATAGGATCTCTTAAACTACAATACAGTGTATTATCCAAAATAATAAACTGGAATTCAAGAATTATTTTTTATAATGATATGGAAATTTATTAGTATGTCCATCAATTTAATTTTTAATATTTTTGTTTTATTTTTTCATATGAACTCTTGAATATATTCTTTCCCTTCCCCTTCCCCAACTCCCTCACATATTCTTTCCCTGTCTATTTCATGTTATGGCTTATAACAAAAACAAAACAAAGTGTGTGCATGCATACTTACACACACACACACACACACACACACACACACACACATACACACACATACACA